ATAAATATATATTTATGTGTCAGTGTGGCGGCCAGCGTGTGTTGCAGATGAGCATTTGGACGGCATTTACAGGAAATTGTCGGCAATAATAGGTGAAAGAGAGTAGAGAAACATTAAGACTTTGGTAGTAAATAGATTTCGTATTTATTTAGCATTATATTTTATTGAAACGCTCTAAGTGCCTGTGGGTAGGCCTACTTCTCTCATGTTGAGATTGACATGTTGGTGGGAATATACATAACTACTGAGTAACTACAGTATTAACCCAACGGAGAAAATGAACGTGTGCATGGTACATAACACCCATATATGCGGTAAAGCACAAGTGTTGGAATGCTCACACATTCTGAAACATGATAATCCGACCCTGATAGTTAAACAGTGCTGGCTCCCTACCCATGCACTTACACTGCATGTGCCGTGGATCAGATCAGTGCCGCCATCATGCAGTGAATGTTTGCCTAGTGCTTGAGCCTACCCAGCCATTATATTTGTATGAAATGGCAACCGTGGTCAAGTGCCACATATTCAGGATCAGGATCGCAAATGTAGCTACAGTTATGGTTTAAAAGATTTAGAATTTTTCAAAAAGCAAACATGTCCTCGGGGTGGTTTATAGCAAGTCCGCGCATGTGTGAACATATATGTGTGTGCTTCAAACTGGGGTGCCTGTCGGATGTCATGGAATTAAATCTAATACCAGTCTGTCTCCTAAATAAACTAAATGTAGCTGTATATATATATATATATATATATATATATATATATATATACACATGTATGTACTCTCTCTGCATGTGCTACTCCACATAATGTGAGTATATATATGTGAACTCTGATCTTTCTTTCTGTGAGATCTGCATTTTCATATGCTGTGCATGCTCCTTTGTGGTTTCAGTCCACTTTTGAATTTTTGAATTGCACTTTTTTTTTTAAATAATTGAGATTATAAGCACATGGGCCCTAGTCTAAAGTGTTCTCAAATCATACAAGCTAATGTTAATACATCATTAAAGGCAGGATTGAGAGTCTGTTGTGGTCAAGGCCTTACAATGTGCTAATTGAAGTGGGAATTTTGAAAGCAATTATTTGACAAGCAATACATGATCAGAGACCTCTACTTCCCATGATTTAGTCCAATATTTTATATGGTTGCTCAGCAGTCTTGTTGGTATAAGTATAACCCTAGTTTGGAATTTTAGCTCTAGAACTATATAGGGCTATAGTTCTAGAGGCTAAGAGCTATTAGAATTTATGCTGTTATAGCATAAAAATTTGCGATTTAACATGCCATATAATAACACCATCACATATTTGATTATAGCCACAATCAATTTGCAAAAGGTGCCTTTGAAATAAGTGTACCTAATTTAAACAAACAGCATCTGATTAGCGATTATGTGCATTGATTCTGTGTAGTGAATATTATTATTTAATAAAACACATCAAACACTAAAAATGAATATTATGGGCACACTACCTCCAATCAAACACAACTCAAAAATCGTTTTGTGCTTGTTATGTTTGGCAAAAATATACACTGTCTAAAAATAAATATCTCTCCATAGATGGCATCTAACCAGATATCATGTTTAACAGTACAATTTAAGTAAGAATGTATTCATCTGAAAAGAGCCTAATTGGTAGCCAAAAACACTGAAGCCAAAATTAGGAAAAAAGTAGCCTTTTTGAAGTGAAAGGAGGGTATGTTAATTTCAACATTTATTTTTGATATCCATGGTTGCATATTAAATGAAAATATTTGCACAGTGGGTGACACGTGCTGCTTTTCTCAGCGACCTTTGAAAATGTTTGACATGAGAACGTGGTGTGATAGCGCTGTGGCTCAAACTCAAAGGATGTTAAGAATATTAAACAACTAGAATTTTTCCGTTGTCCGATCGGGCAACTAGGCCAGAGAATAACTTGTCCGACATAGACTTTCACTTGTCCTGGGCAATCGGACAACCGTTAAAGTGTCGAAGGCTGTTGCATAATATGAAAAGCTAATAACATGTATAAATATATATATTTATGCATATTAGCTCTTGATTATATAATATATGACTTTTACATGCAGCTAGACCGTAATAAGTGCCGTAATGTTTAATGATCGTGCGTGATCGACGCACATTTTAATGCACACGTTTTTTGCAGATGTCTCTAGCGAATCGAAGGACTCCTCATAATTGAAAAAAAACGAAGTTGTGTCAGTATGGGCAGATCAAACGGGCGCGCACCGCACACTTCGTCGTGCATATACCTGCATAACCCGCCCGCATTTTTATACATGCAGATCTTGATATGCGATATGAATCCTGCCATCCCGTGGGCATAAGTTTCCACCTGAATGTTCCCCTATATCGCATAGTAGGCTGCCACGCGCCGATGGCTGGACAGATGTACGTGTGTCTGCTGCGTTTGCAGCCGGCCTAGTACTAGTACTTGATCTCAACGCTAACGATAGTAACCTGCATGTATAGGCCTATACATCTATCCAGATGAGAAACCGGATACCAGAGCACGCACGCACGCACGCACACACACACACACACACACACACACACACACACACACACACACACACACACACACACACACACACACACACACACACACACACACACAACGTACGACGTACGCCTACGTACTACTACTACTCACCGACCGACCAACTAACGTAACTTAACGTTACCAAACCAACGTACCGTACGTACCG